CAAAGTTTCCTCCCTTGGCCAGCACGCTTTGTTCGTCAGCAGTAAGTTCCTTGCTGGTCAAGTTGACTACAATCTTCCGTTGGTTCTCCTCGGGTGATGGTCCATGTTTTGCTGGATCGTTGAAGCTTTTCCATCAACGCATCAAACTTCTTCTTTTGGCGATTAGTTGCTGCTGCTTCGGCCACCATCATTCGATCAGCTGTTAATCGATCCACTTTTTCCCAATGGATACAGTGCATTTTGTTGGCTAGTTCTATATTGACAGGTAAGAGTCTACTGTCAATATATGCAAGATCTCGGCGGGTTTCGTGTATCCGTTCCCGTAAAAGAGCTCGTTCCGCKCGGTTGTAGATATTCTTGGCCTGGTTGGTTCTGAAGTATCTCTTCATCTTCAAGAAGGTTGGAATGATCTTCTTTTCACGGCATCGTAGCAAGAAACGTCAGGAAGAAATTCCGATAGACCACGGCTTCAAAGCCCGGAAAACATTCCTAAATGTAAGTAACATCTTATTTATAAAAAAAAGCTCGCGTATTCACACGTGCGTAATTAATCCGCTTACATCTAAAATAATGTTTTTTTAGGAACCACGCTTTGGCACCTGAAGAAATGGTTCTTCTAACTACTTCTAGGTTTTTGGCAACTGGATCATTTTTGCAAGTTACTGGAGATTTTTTTGGTGTGGACAAATCTACAGCGACTGGAATTGTTCGTACAGTTCTTCGAGTGATTTGAGCCAGCTTGAAGCCAAGCTATATTAATATGCCACGAACTGAGGCGGAACTCTTGTCAACTCGTCAAGGCTTTTACAAAATCGTAAAATTTCCAAAGTGTGTTGGAGCTGTAGTTTGGACACACATTAGAATCCAAAGTCCTGGGGGAGATAACGCGGAAATTTTTCGAAATAGAAAAGGTAATTTTCCTATTAATGTGAAAGTCGTCGGGGATTCAAGATGCCTTTATAGAAATATCGAATGCAGGTGGCCTGGATCCTCACACGATTCGAATTGATTTCGAAACAGTCGACTGAGATCCGACTTTGAAAACCAAATGTTTGGTGAAAAGCTTCTGGTTGGAGATTCCGCGAATAGCTGGCTGTCTGAATGCCATATGGTGCAATAAGAGTATGGGAACGGACACTAAATCGAGGATCTGCAAAACCGTCGTGAGGCCGGTGATGACATATACCGCAGAAACCAGGCCAGAAACAGCGAAAACCAAAAGACTTCTAGAGACAGCTGAGATGAAAATACTCCGTAGAATCACCGGAAAAACAGTGCTGAATAGAGCGAGAAGCGAGGATATAAGAACAGCCTGCAATGTTAAGAACATCAATGAATGGGTAGCAAACGGGAAGAAGGAATGGAATGAGCACATAAGCAGGACGTACTACCGCAGACTTCTGAGAATCGCTCTCAGCAAGTCCCCATTAGGACGAAGAGACGTTGGGCGCCGCAGGAAACGATGGAGCGACAACCTCACGCAAGTGAATGATAATTGAACAGGCGATTCGCCCAAAATCAAAAATGAAGAAGAATATCATTTGAATTGCATATCACGCTTGTTGATGTTCTCTTTACGTACTTTCGTTGTATGTTCAAATCTAATTCCAAGTCCAAATTATCCCGATTAACACTGTACAATACATCGATCATTATCTATATATTGAAAACAAAAATTGTGTAAAAAACTCGAGAAGTTGAGAACTTGACTTGACAAGTGACTCACAATATAGCTTTAGCGATCGTTCGGAGATGCCTATATCCCTATCCGACAACTCTCCACCGCATCGCCCAACAACTTTAAAATGAGCATGCGTCAGATGCTTAATCGATCGATTGTGCAACCAAAATTGCTTTGCGGCCAACCAGCCGGCTAAACACCGGCGCATCGTAAGAGATCGCCTATGCATACCGACCTAGAGTTTCTGGTAGGATTTGATGGGACTGTTAAAATACACTTTTGGTATCAACGGCAAAAGCAAAAGTTTTAGTCCTTGGTTGAAAGAGTACATACTGCATATGCGTGCTCAGAATTAACAGATCGCAAGATCTCGGAAAAGTATAAGAAGAAGAAGATTGACAGTTAATTTATGCCTCGTATTACGATATTTGCAGTTAATGTCTAACATTGTTAAGCGGCAAGAAAACAGACATATTTTTCTTGGGCAAAAACTATGAATGCTACAAGATTTTACAAAGAGCACAAAACTGTGAATAAATGATAAAGTGCATCAACCAAAAAAAATGAGTTGATTTCATCCACCAAATAAAAAGTTCTGGTAGTTTTTGTACCACGACACTCAAGAGTTCACCACTTGTCCAAAACGACAAAAAAACTCGATTGTTTCATCAAAATATGAGTCTTAAATAAGAACAAATTTACAGCGAGTTTTTAAATATAATTTTTTTTAAGAACTTTGACCATCAATAACAAGGGAGGCAGTCGTTTTTTGTTAATAAAAGTTAGGTCAGATCGTCTTCTTTTGATCCAACGAATATATCAGTACTCTTTTGATCATGTGCTTACGGGACACCTTCTATTTCAACGAAAAACTTAAAATAGAACCCCGGTACAATCGGAAATAATCCAAAAGAGAAGAGAAAAAGGTTTTTGAGCGATGTTCAGAATCCAATTGCGAATAATTTGTGTAAATCAATTCGGCCTTTTACACTCTGTATAATTTACGGTAGTTATGTGTGTGAATATAAAAATTTCCATGAAATGCACACGGCTCAAGTGTAAACGCTGCATTTTCCATAAACCAAAATTCAGGTTGCTAACCGGGCGAAGCATGTAAAATTACACTTGACTTTGTTGGGACACATCATTGTAAAGCATAGCTATTTTTTGTCAATAAAGCAATTTTTTAAATGTATTCCTGCTACTAAAACTGTTAAACTTGTACTTAAAGCTGTTACCTAAAAATGAATCTGGAAACTTCAAAGGAATGTGGGGCTTATGGAACCCTACCGCCAGAAAATACGGCAGTTTATCTTCATTGGTTCTCTGCTGTTGAATGAAGCGCATTGCTTCTTTCATTGATTCTGAAATTTTACTATTTTCAACATCTATGTAGTGACGAATAATCGTTACAACCTATGTCAGGTAAAGTCCCCAAGGGTTGAAACTCGGTTTGTACGGGACAAATCAGGTTCATTCCAAGGCTCCCGTCTGGATTCAAACAAACTTTAGCATTTTTGAATGCTTCCGATTTCGGATGAAATGGCGTTTGACTCCAGCTATAGGGCTGATCGTCAGAAAAATTCGACGAAATTCCTACACAAAATATCCGTGAGACGCTTGCCTAGATGTTATGAAACAAGAAAATTACCTGGATGGAAAACTTTCCCCACTGAATGAGAGTGGTAACCATGCTCTTTGAAGTATTGAGGTAAAGTTGTGAAATTTCCGGCAAATTGCCTCCAATAACTGTAAAAGTCGTAAAAATGCAGGGTATCAGGCCTGCGGCTGGTCAGAAATGAGTTGCGACTTGGTGCACACAGAGCTTGCTGCAAAGAAATTCATTTCTCCCTAAACACTTCTTAATATGGAATACCGCGCTTACTTGTGCATACGCCTGAGTAAATACAAAGCTCTCAGAAGCAAGTTTGTCCATGTAGGGGGTATAAGCTTCGGAATCTCCATAACTCCCTAAAGCGGGCTTAAAATCATCCAGAATTATTAGAAGAACATTGGGCCGATAACTAATGCAGAGACCGCAATATAGTAGCAGGTAAATTGCCACATGGAGAACTACTGCAAATTAGATTTGTAAATTATGTAAATTATTATTTAAATGCAGGACTGAAAAACTTTGCTTCAAAGCAAATAAGCATAAGCACGGTGTTTCATAAGTCCGTGCAAAAACTATTTTATAAATCAAGTGTACAGGTCAGGCGAATTACGACGAAATCTTTCAAATATGGTTCTAACGTGACGTAACTTAGATAACTATTGGAACCGCTCGGGAATAGTATACCAATTGGAAATATCGAGGTGCGCCAGCTTGAAGTTGTGCTATTTGCATAAACAACGGAAAACTGAAAAAAATGCGAAAATCGCGTTTTTCTTCAGAAACAATCGCATATAACTCGGTAGGTATGTATTTTGCAGAAAAAATGTATACCCATTAATTTCTTCGCTATAAAATGCTCGATAAGATAGAGTTGGTTCGATATCCGCAGGTTGGAAATGTTCGCTGCAAAATGCTCGAAAATGCAAAAAAAGATATTCACTTTGAAAGTTGGGCAGGGTATGCGGCGTAACGGTTAATGGTGTAACAATAAATTGATAACAGTAAATTAATATTTACCAATCGATAGATTTTTCTAGGTTGTTTTCGCATCTGCTTTCAAAAAGTACATTGCACGGGTGCATCAGGGACAAAAATTTGTATAAACATTGTGTAGTGCACATTCGGAGCTGAAATTAGGAGGGGTGGGGATAGGCTGGAAAACTTGAAATGGGCGCTTCAAAATCGGAGCGCTCGCTTTCGGATGAAATAGAGATGTCATAGCTCAACTGGCATATCCCTAGCGACAATCCAAATTGAGATAAAAATGCATGCCCTGGATATCGTACTGGCCAAGCTCAAGAAGACGCTCATACTCCAATTGTTGAAACCGCTATAAGTCTAGCCACCGATAAAAATTCAGCAATCATTGTAGCTGAAGATATAGAGGTATTAGTAATTTTAACAGAAACTGCGCCTGTAGATAAGAAAAGTTATTTTTTCAAAGCGAGGAGAGGAAAAACAGCTGAAAGGCTTTACAGTTCCACATCTTATATGCGAAAATATAAAAAATCTGATCGTTTTTATTCACTCTTTCACTGGATGTAATACTACATCTACTTTTTCAAACAAGAAATAATGAAATTATTAGAAAAAAATACAAGCTTAATCGAAGGAACTTTAAAGTTTTAAAAGTAGCTCTACGAAGAAAGCTTTTAATTTAACTATGCTTTCGCCAACTGAATCAGCTGCAAAAAAGCGTACGTTTAGAGGATATTAACAAGTGCAACAATGGCTCGGTAATTCGTTGGACCCGACTCAATGGGGTTGGAGTGTTAAAGAAAATAAATGACAACCAGCATATACAACTGATTTACTACTTCCTGACCTGAAAATATATTAGACAGTAATACAGATAAAGAAAAATAAGTTGTAGAAGTAGCGAACTTGATATTGATGGCGACAATGATGTACAACTCCATGTAAATGCAGTTCATATATTGCACATATTAACAACTTAAGAATGCGTTTCCGACAACAAAAACAGCGACGATGAAATTGTAAGAAAGTAACGTAAAAGTAAGTTGTGTAAGAAACAAAAATATGCCAATTGATCAAATGAATTTGTATTAGACATACATTCTGTAAATTATGTAAATTTAGTGAAATTGTCAAAATTTTATAACTTATCTCCTGTTATTCTATGTACTATATGCATTAAATAACAATTAAATTAATTTGTAACATTACGCGTTAATTCTTCAATTTAATACTAATTTAAAATGAACAAAATATGCCTAATAAGGATATTATAATTTGCACTAATTTTTAGCAACATTTAAAAATCCTTGATTACGAAAATTGACAGTTGTTTATTTTTTAACTTCATTTGAGAAATGTAACTACAAACATTGTATTCCTCTCGTTTTTCTACCCCAACTTAAATAAAATCGTCAAAATCGGTGCAGTGGAAGCCGAAATACATATACAAATTTTTGTCCCTGATGCACACGTGCAATGTACTTTTTGAAAGCAGGTGCGGAAACAGCCTAGAAAAATCTATCGATCAGTAAACAATTTATTGTTACACCATTAACCGTTACGCCGCATACCCTGCCCAACTTTCAAAGGCAATATCTCAACATCTAGTCAACCAAATTGGATTCTTCTTGTCTTAAAGAACCGTCTTTCCGAGTACTATCGTTCCGTACTTTCTTTTTTGTTCCCTCTTGCAAGTCCCGCTTCACAGGGCAAATTTGTTTATAAGCCAAAATTTTAAAACTTTAAAATTGCTCAAAAATTGATCTAATCAATCAATATTTATCAATATTTAAAATTGAAAAATGGTCAATATAGCAATTGTATATTGTTGCGGCTTGATTTTTAGCGCACAGCGGCAACGCAGCTTCCAGCGTTTTCGGGACGCCTAGCTCGATACTTCGAGAACGAACGGCAATAGTCGATTGGGCTATGGAATTCCGGAAAAATGGAGAATCTTCGCAGGTCGTCGAGAGCCCTTGCGCGCTAATATAAATACGGCAAGGCGATACAGTGAAATATTTAAAGCGATATACAGAGTGTGTTCGATTCGCGAGCTATAATTTTGAGTTAGTGTTTGTTATAGTTAGTATTTGGGAGTTCAATAAATTGTTGTGCTTTTTTATTGGTTTACTGGAATCATTCGAACCCCGGGAAATGTAACAATATTATAGTTTAAGGAACCAAGAAGGGGTAAAAGCGCGGACGCAAAAAATATTCATAACTGTGAGCCTAGCACAAAATTTAAAAAAGGGATTTTTTCCAGTTAGGTTAATTAACAATTGCATTATGCAAAAAAAAATTGTTTTTCTCGTTTTATTTTTTGTAATATTGAGTGCCGTTTCTTTAATTATCGTTGTTAGGTACATACCTAACATTGCCACTTCATTTTTCAACATTTGTTGGCGTTATATTTTTGCTTAACTGGGCTTTCGATTCGTTTTGGTCTAGTCTGAGTCTATGTTGTGTTTAATATATCTTTTCGGCTTGTTTATGGATAATTTAGCTCTGACTATCCGGTGGTCGCTTCCTGTGTTGAAAGAGTTTAAAGCTGAGATGTCGGTGAACATTTTCTTGGATGATGATAGGATTTAATCGATTTCGTTATGTGTTCTGCCGTCAGGGCTCATCCATGTCAATTTCCTTTGCATTTGTTTAAGAAAGAAGGTGTTCATTACATAAAGTCTTTTGTTTTCAAGAAAGTTGCATAACATATGTTCTCGTGGGTTTCTTTCTCCTAGTCCTTGGTTACCAATGCAATGTTCGTCATAGTATAGCTTTTTCCCAACAATAGCGTTAAAATCGCCAATAACTAGGTCATTATTACATTTGTCTTTGTCTAGGGCTTTCCCAATGTCTTCATATAGAATATATACTTCTTCGTCTTCGTGAGTTGACGTTGGTGCTTATATCTGAATGATTTTGATTCGGTAGTCCAACTCCAAGGTTAGATATGCTCCTCTGCCCCAGATTCCGTTATAGCTTTGAATGTATTTGATCATTCTTGGGTGTATCAGGAAACCTACTCCTCTTGGACTTTCGCTCTCGTGTCCGCAGTAATAAAAGGTTTTTCCTGATTGAATTGTTAACAGGTTTTCTCCAGGTCTTCTGGTTTCACTCAGTCCAATGATTTCCCATTTAATTTTGCCGAGTTCGTTTTCTAGTTCCAAGAGTTGAGTGTCCGACAGGAGTGATCGACAGTTGTATGTTGCTATTATGATGTTGTTCTTTTTAGAGTGCAAACTTTTGCCTCCCCCAGAATCCATGAGGCTGACCGTCTTTTTGAAGGTGTGGGATTTGAAACTATTGTTTCTACCCACCTGGGGTACATGTCTGTTCTGTTTTGGCCACCTAATTTCGGGACACCCTGTATAAACCAACTATTTTTAAAACTTACCGCTACTGAAACATACACGTTTAAACTAACACTTTCTTCGAGTAACACTTGCTTTTAGATGATATTGTGCGTAGAAAATATGCAGCATTCCGGAACAGTGCGTGATATGATTCTGGATGTAGGCAAAGACAAGTTGTCTCTGATGTAGGTTTGTTTACGTGCTTGATCGGTTCACATTAACCGGTCTAAAATTTGTGTTATTGGGAGAAACTTTATGGTCGGAATTACCCCTACGGCGTATGTTCCCCCACTCTCCCCTACGTGAGTTCTATAAGGTCGTACCCTAAAACTTTCTTAAATATAAATACTCTTGAATGACTATGAATATATAGAAATCACAAACCGGTATCACACACAAGTCGGTGTTTATAAATGTGATGGATAAAGATATGTGATGGAGAATTAAAATGTGTTCTAATAATGTGACCATTATTTTAAAGTAAAGTCCAAATAAGATCAGAAAAAATTTCAAAGTCATTTGTGCAAGTCTCGGTTTCCTGCGAATATTTCTTAAGGTAGGTATCAACGTTTAAAATACCACTTTGCTTTTGTAGTATTGCGCAACTTTGCCCTAAATTTAACCGACTTCGCATCTCTTATGATATACGAGATATCAATGAGTACACCCTGAATATTAACGTTAATAAATACGTTTTGTAATATTATTGTACAGGGTGTTTCCTCATAAGTTGACACCCCTCTAGATCGTTTATTTCAAAAGAATTGTGAAAGTGACCAATACAAAAGTTGTTTAACTACGCAATCTCAATTTAAAATAAAAATATAAAACACGAAAATGTCAAAATTTGACAACATAAAGTCTTTTTTTGAAAATGAAACACCCTATATATTTTTACATACCAATAGAAATTTTTTCCATATTTCAAAAATAAATATTTTTCGTATATTTGTATTAGCCGTTTTTCGCCGCACGTTTGGCCGGTGGCACTGTTCTTAAATAAAAATGTTAATTTTGTGTTGAAAATGTTGTCCTATTGCCTAAAGCCTCTTGATTGTTTTGTCTGGGGTTATTTAAAGAATATTGTGTATGAGACTCTAGTTAAACGCCTTAAAATAGTGGATGCAATTAACGATATTAATATTAATCAAAACCAATATATTCAAAACGTTATCGATAAAATTCAAATAGATTATAGAACATGTCTACCGTTTAACGGAGGTCATATTGAAAATCAGATATTTTAATGATGTTGTTTTTATTTATTTATTTGTTTCGACATTTATAGCAGCAATAAATTCCGTTATGTTGGCTTTCTATAGCTTTTGTATCATTTCAGCCTGCTTTAGTTCGTAGCTATTTAAAATTTTTAAAACATATTACAGAAAAAACGGCTAATACAAATCTAGTCAAGATACAGGGTGATTTTTTTTTATCTTGAAACGCTTAAATATTTCGGAAACGAGTCATCTGAGGAAAAAATGTTGTCAAATGTCAGAAGTTAATATCTGGGAGGGGGAATTTTATTCGTGTCAGAAAAACAACGCCTACTTCGACCTTGTAGGCTAGGCAGGGGTCAACTTGAGAATTTCAAATGGTAACCGTACCTATATAGTACGTATGGTACTCGTCTTTATCTATGATGGTAACCACAACGTTTTTAACAAACGTCGACGTATACGGCAGTTTTTGTCACTTGTCACTATCGATTGCGGCGATTCGAACCTAGCGGTTTGTGATGATTTAACACGATTTAAGGTTAGGTGATTTTTCCCGGTATTTTGTTGTAACCGTAATCTCTTTGGATTTTATTGATATCGTGTTGGACTTTGTTTAACATGTCACACTAAGCAACATATGAAAATAATTGCCTTTTCCACTATCCTAACAAAAGTGGAAGACCAACAACGTAGAGCGACCTTTTAGTAGGTAGTATATACTATGTTAATTTTTTTCATTGTTTCAGGCATACAAAATACTAGGATTTGTAATCAGAAATTTTAAATATTTTAGCAATAATACAATATTGTTTTATTACATTTTTAGTATTTAATGTGATAAGCACTCTCACTTGTTATTACAAACAGGGTGGTATTTATTATAAGTTACCGATAAATAAATATATATATATATAGATATGGTAATTACTAATTTGAAAACTATCCATATAAATGTATCGATGTATGTAAGGATATTCATTATACTGTCAAATATACAATAAGCCAAACTTTTAAGAGATTTATTTAATGGTTTAAGTTGTTCATTTAAATACTATGAATACAAAATCTGATACCTATTTAAGCTGATCAGAATAAATCATTTGTAAATTATTAATAATTTATTATCAATTTAAAAATACTCATAATTATCACTATCTTTCTTTGTACTAATATAAAGAGAATGGTATTATTTTTCTTCCAACAAATTCAAACAATCCCTCTTAAAAAATTATAAATTACTAGCCAAGAGCGTATAAAGTTTACTTATAAATTTCCGTACGATGCTATTTGTTTGTCATTTTTATCTCGAGCTTATATAGGGTTCGAAAGTCACGAGAGAATGAAAAAAAAATGATTGTTGGACTCGCGGTTGTTTATCTCGACAATTTATAAAATAATTATCATCAAATAATAAACAAAATCACCTAACCTTAGATCGTCTTAACTAATTTGTAGAACTTGTCTACGATACGTTCGATAACAAGAAACCGGTAGGCTTATTTGATTGGTTTGAATCGCCGCAATCGATAGAAGTGACAAGAAGTGTCGTATACGTAGACGCTTGTAACATTTTATTGGAGATCCAAATAGTACATCAAAAACTGGGAATAATTTATCTAAAACATTTACTTCGATTTTGACAGGTGGCGCTGTAATCCATCAATTATCAATTTTTTGCTTTATATCATACGATTTAAACATTTTTGGCGCACAAACACAACCATCTTTATCTGCATTCTGCCTTCTTGTCAATAAAATACGATTTAAGATTCTAGTCTTATTGTAACCCCGACATTCCCCCAATATGAAGTAATTGTACTGACGACCAAGTACAGACATAAATAGACGTCCAAAAATTGACGTCATTAAACAGACGTCTAGCCGACGTCATTAAACGGACGTCTAACCGACGTCATTAAGCAGACGTCTAACTGACGCCAGTAAGCAGACGTCTAACGGACGTCATTAAACAAACGTCTAACCGACGTCCTTAAACAGACGTCTGATATATGTGTCCTGTGGCCGTCATTTGGACGTCCAAACGACCAGCTATCTGACGTCTTCTAGCCGAATCTCATGACGTCGTTTAGTCGTCCATAAGACGTACTGTGCTACCTGGGTCATAATGGGACACCCTGTATATTGAATGGATATTTAAAAATGTTGGAAATATTTCATAGAAACATTTCTCAAAGGGACATTAAGGATCTCTTGAAAGTTTCTGTTTCTGCAATGTTATAATGCAGCTTATATAAATTGAAATGTCTCGAATTTATTGTACGGATATTAGGTATAAAAAATATTCACTTTTCAAAAATTTTCGTTTTCTTTACTAAACTCGGAGCATGCCAAAGTTTCAGAAATTTTGCAATTACTTTAATTTTGCACAGAAACAAACACAACAAACAAAACAGAAATCATAATTTGTCCCGTTTCAAAGTTGGGGTACATTTGGCCGTGTAACGTTCATTTTGTTAAGCAGTTTATTATCCTATCATGCATTCGATTTTAAATCAATTTGAAATATAAACTTATCTATACTATATACACTATATAAGTGAACTATTTCTAAAATAGGTACCCAAAATTAGTGACGGCATTTTGCCTATAGGAAGGTATTGCTAATCGTTGAAGATGATTAAAGACCTGAACGTAACAAACAGATGACCGTGAAATAACCACTGTGATCTGCTTCTTCTAAACTTCACAGTTTAAAGTCACACATTACATTTTTACTATTTATTATACATCACTATTACATCACAGAATGTAACCTTGATCACAGACAGTGATCGTTTAATTTTCGTTTTAAAAACAACTAACTTACAGCTAATAGGCTATCTTTGTCTATCCTGTTGCAACTGTGCATATTCGACAAGAATAAAAATATTCATATCAGTTCCAATCCAACGGAATGATCGGTAAATTTTTTAAACAATTATTTAAAATAAATTTGAACATGCAGTAAATTTGATAATAACTAGATTAAAAATTTAAATAACATTAGAAAAGATAACTAGCCCAACAAACTAGAAAGCGCAAGTATATGCCATATCAATTTTCCTGTATCTTGTCTACACAAACACGACCGAACTGTCAGTCAGAGATAGTCAGCTGCATGCCCTGGGCACTCGAGCATTCTTACGCCAACCGACTCTGAGATACTCAAGCCAAAGAATCGCTCACAACCGATAGCTACTTCGCTGGGGGGGAGCCCTGTGGCGAATCTGGACAACACGAATTCGCCCCAAAAGGTTGGCTGACGTTGGCAACCCTGCTGGATGCCAGGCATACCAATAGGCCGTGGTGAGAGAGACAACATAGCAGACATCTCTCTCGAAGGGACAACGCCCAAGAAGAGACGCTCAGCGTCCCCTCTCAACAGGGAGTCTCCTTTTGCACTTTCGCGCGCGCACACCCCGCTTACTCTCTACTTATTGTTAATTTATTAAAAGTTGTTTATTTAAAGTGTGCTTGATTGTGTGACACAAGAAAGCCCACACACTTAAAAACCTAACCGAGAACGACGACCATAGTAACCGACTTTCATAGTCGCCAGAGGCGCTACAGACGATAAAGAGCTACAGGTTAAATCATGAAATAACCCACTGTAGGAAAATATTCTGTGGATGAATGCGATAACGCAAGTCAAATGTCAAATAAATCTTCCCCATTGTTGTTTATGGG